CGAACAATCTGTTGGCGAATTTGGTGTTTTGATTTCCAGGCTATTTAGAGATATCCCCGCAAATTGAAAGCGACGTCGGGCTAATATCTAGGCTCAGGCTGGCACCTAGCTGGTCGCCGGCGACAGCGGTGATCCCATCAATATTCCTTCAGCTTGCTGCTGGTGTTTTCGTTCAGCTGTTCCGAGGTTGCGGTGACACAAACGTGAGGCAGCTGCATATTGAAGTTGATTTCGACGCCCGCTCCTTCTACAAGTGGGCCATCATTCTCAAACCTGTTCCGCGCAACGATTAAGGGCTTAATGTGTTGATACGTTGGCTAACACACTCCCCACATCCAGGCTGATCATGTGTGTGCCATTGCTGCGCGCATATAGAATACCAATGGGACCAAATGGGCTTATGTTCGCCTACTATCTACTATCGGGCTGATGTTCGCCTCGCTGGCACAGCTAGCTGGGCACAGCTAGCTGGGCGTCCGGTCCGTCCGCCCATAGCGCGGTGAGTTCGAGTCGCTTTAGGTGATCGCTTTTTTGCCCTTGACTGGTGTGGATTGCGGTCAGTGGCAGCGGTCGCGTGAAGGTCAGCTGGCGTGAAGGGAAGGTGGCGTGGCGCTGGCGTGGCGTGAAGGTCAGATCAGAAGATATCGACTCGAGCCTCAGCTATTCCAAGGACAAACTTCGGCTCCTGATGTGTACATGGCTGAATGACGAACACCATTGATTTTTTTTTCTCAGGGCTCAACATTATAAGACCCAACTACGGGTGAAGCATTAACAAGCTGGTGTGCATAAGAATGCATCAAAGCAGTACGTCGATCTGAACAATTATTTAAGCTGTATTGGGGAACAGCATGTTGAGTCGTACCTTTTAGCATTCCACTCTGAGGATCTTATCTACAGTTTCTGACGAGTGATGAGTCAACTTAAGCTAATATCGGTTGGATGCAATAAAGGTCTTGCTTGCCAGCACCGCTGGGTTAACGAGAAACTTAATTGAGGTAGGGTCCCCTACTCTCCTGTTTTTATACCACTCGAGAAAGCATTCTTACCTTTGTGCTTGCGCTCAGATAGTTGTGAGTGTATATAGTAATGGAAACGGATTTGGTACAAGTAGCCAAGTTGTAAACAAGCACAAACGGCCTTTTAAATCAGGCGATCGTCAAGTATTGACATATGATACAAATAAAAAATGCCTTTCTCAAAGAACCGCAAGAAAAATAGGCATCTGATGTATAGGCAGGCAGCCGCATAGTTTTTCTATCTAAGAACATAACTGAATGCAACGCGAGTGGCAATGCAACAAAAGCATAACTGTTGACAAACGCGCAACAGGTCTGCTCTTGTCTGGTGCATGTCTGGAAAACTAAAAACTTGGGAGAAGCTTGCTTCCTATTTCCTGCAAAGCCACCCATGATAGAACACCGGCAACCCGGCGGTGACGACCTATGAACGACTGATGCCCAAACTCAGCTCGGACACACAACAGCTGCAGCGGCTCGAGAGCCGTTACTCGCGTGACAAGAGTGAGCACACCAAAGCGCCGTACTACGGGCAATCGTAGCATCTCCGGCGCGTGGGTGGTTGTGAGGATATTACGCGTGATTATTACATCACGTGCACAGGTAAGTTTGTCGATCGTGTGTCATTCTAGTTCGCTATGCGTGAGTGTCATTTGTTCACGACGCATGCCATTGTATGCGACGTAGGCGCAAAATTCCAAACCTTTTGATTTCGTCGCTCCTGTGGCACGTTACAGCTCCCCATAACGAAAAACAGCATCGCACATGAGAAGGACAAGTGTCCCCATCAGCTACTGTTTAGCTTCTTTAGGAAGACGGTGCCGTATCATAGCGAGTCCCATGGGAATACCGCAGCAGCGGCGCATAATGATGGAAATGCGTTCTTCCCATGAAATGCGCGAATCGAACCGCGCATGGAGGGCGCGCCGATGCGCACGCACGGCAGGCGTAGCGAGAGGGTCTCCCCAGCGTGGAAGGCGGTCACGGCGGCCGCTTCGCCGTGGTCCATGGATGGGAAAACGGGTGCAGTTTGTTGGTCCAGTGCGAATTTCGCTACGTCGGGTTGGCGATATTTGACTCGGTTGTTTTGAAAGACGCCAGGAAACCACGGAGGGCTCTCCGTGCTGTAGATCTTGACTTGTTGAACGTTCTGAATTGGTTTGAAAAGTACGTGCGATTTAATGCGCTCTTGACTGCGTCTCAGCAAAGCCAAAACTTCTGCTCGGTCCCCTAGTATGGAGTTTGCTCCTTGTCGGCGCGCGCCCTATCATGTTTCTCTACGAGAGCTCTAACGTCATCATCTCGAAGCCCCAGGTATGACGGACACTTCAGCTTTTCACTGCGTAGTGGCATTTGAATTTGGTGGCATTGAATTTGAAATGATCGGATCCCAAACCGACAGCCAAGCTTCCCATTTCTTGGCCGCGGATCCTGCCTCACAGGTTGAGATATTATGAGCATGTAGGAGATCGAGACCCAGGGCATCTCGGATGAAGCGGCGTGCGGACCGGGCTCGTATTTTCGACGGCTCTTGTTGGATCTTGGCAGCAGTCATCGCCACTTAGATCAGATCGTGACCACTTTGTTGCTGGTTTGTGCTTGCACATCGGATGTCAGGTCCGGTTTGGTGGTAATGATGAGATCAATCCAGGCCGGGTTGGATCCCAGGTCAGAAGGAGAGGTAAAGAACGTACTTACTGATAGGTCGCTGATCAGCTGTATGTGCCACTCCAGATTTCTGGGAACGTGTAACATCGAAGCTGGTGCCGCCCAGGATGAGGCTTGGCTAGGTTCTTGACAAGATGAGTGCAGGCTGACTGCAGATCATCGGTGGCTGGAGCCGTCTCCCCACCAGGGAGCAGTAGATCACGCAGACCATGAGAGGCCAGTGCCGCTCTAACATAAGCCGGAGTGCCGTCTGTGAAGTACTTATGGCTAGCGCCGACAGAGACTCCAGCTGCAGTGTGGCACGGTGTATGATGGGGACACCTCCGATCTTTCAGATCCCCCAGTTTGTCGGTCTTTCCTGCAAAGTACACATCCCTGGAACAGGAGCATGCGGTCATCGATCCTCCCGGTGAGTTCCGTTTTTCCAATGTTGAGTATTTCCAGTTGCTCAGCGACAAGCAGATGGCTCACCTCATTCAGAGATTTGACGACGGATCTCACCTTCAGGAGACTGGTTTTCAGCGCGGTTTTGGGTGTGAAAGCACGTCGCATCTCTGCTTGTCGGGTTTGACGAATTTTACCGCGAAGCGCGCGAGACAGGTAACGCGCTTTACCCCCGTTCGGCATTGACGCGCAGTGCCCGCCCTTGCTACCAGAGTGACAGGCAGGCGACGCCATACAGCCTCAGCATCTGAGCGCGTCGTAAAGCCCGATGACTCACTCCCCTCGGCGGTGACGGACGTGGAGGGGAGCGAGCTCCGGGGTCTTGGTGGCGTGGCGGATCTGGAGGCACGATCCGTGCGGTAACACGCACCCGGATGGGCCGATGTGATGTGTTCAGCTCGAGCCCCCCCCCCCCCCCTTCCTCGATGGCGGCGGCGTCTTTGTAACCAGAGTCGATGCAGCAAAGCTATCACCGAGTTGCTCAGTTGCGTCGTGGCGGCGCCCTGAAGTTGAAGCGGAGCTTATGAATAGATGGCGCTACTGACCAGCCCGTCCGACCTCGCTGGGTCACGTGGGGGAACGCTGAGAAGCGCCATCGGCTGCGCAACAGGTGACTGAGAGCTCAAGGCCTCCCCGAGTGTCCCCGGTTGGTGGTCGAGGCGAGTCGAAATGTCAACAAAGGTGAGGCGAGAAGAATGAAGCGAACAGCAACAACAACCGCTGTACGTTACTTTTCCCGCAAGGCAAGAGATGTCCCCATAGGGCCTAACACAACCTCCATAAATCACAGGGAGACATGAAAACGACAATTACATAGGCAAATCAATGCTAAGAAGTAGACAATAGTGTCGCTCAGCGCACCCATGCGCAGTAGAGGTAGAGTCAGATTTTCTGCTTTTTTAGTCAACTCGAGTTTGTCGATAAAACTATTGTGCAGACGAATGATAGCACCGCCCAACTATAGGAGCTAGTCATATATTCCAACATGAAAAGGTGTGCAAAATTTGGGCGTAGGCTAAATCTTTGTCGCAGTTGATGAAATGAGATGATGTGACATTTGTTTTCACGAGCTAAATAAACCCGATCTATTACCGATCCCAATCGAACCTATGATGCTTGCCTTATAAACGCTCAACATTTCGTTCACTGTTAGTTTCAAAGCGCAAAAATCGCGCGATTCTTTTGTTGTTGTTATTTAATCCACGCGTATTGCACGATTCGAAAAACAGCGTTGTGGGTGTGCTTTTCATCTAACGTAGTCAGCGTTGCACACCAATTAGCATTACCATATCCTGGTATATGGTAATGCTAATGCATACCAATTAGCATTACCATATCCAAATACCATTACCATATTAGCATTACCATATACCATACCATTACCATATCCACCAAGAGCATTACCATATCCTGCCAATTAGAGATTATGGGCAGTCAGAAAGGAACGCCACCGGCCAGAGACTCCTCAGTCGCAAGAGGGGTCATCCACAGCCAGAAGGAGCTCGGTTACCTAAAACGGCCATTGAACGGCTAAAAAACCATGATTAGTTCTGCGGCTCCTTTTTGTCCAGAAAATACTTTGAAATGCAATGGTGGCCGACATAACTGACGCACAGCCCACTGATTCCAACAACTAGCCAGGATATTTACCCGACCATCCAGCCATACTATTGTGAGACTGTTCGAAGAAATATCTTAAAATAGCCCAGCACCACAGCCGTAGATTCGACATTGGCGGCACTCCTACCGTCGGCCGGCGTCAGCCAGAGGTTGGCGCCACCAAATGTCGCGATGCTGACACTGACACGTGTCAGAGCTGCCACCACCGCCGGCTTAAAGCCGTCCGCTCGCCCGCTCCACCCAGGTGGCGGCCAGAAGCCAGCACCGGCGGCGTCGGCTGAGCGGATCCACAGCCATGGGTCGTATCAGCTGGCTGACGCTGCTGACGCTGATGATCAGCTTGAGCTTCACCTCATCTGGGCCCGTCGGTGAGCGCTCCTGTCTATCCTCTGCTTGCTTGCGGTGGGGCCGGGTGCTAAGTCCACTATCTTCTCAGCCCCGGACTGCGTGACTTGACATCCTAGACTGGTAACGTAGTTGGGCCCGTGAATACTGGTCAGCTTACTTTTTTGTTAAATGACAAGAACTGCGATATGGTCAAAAGCTTAAGAGCAATTATAATAACCTTATTTCTTGCCGATGTATGCCAACCATGTAAAAAGTAGAGATATGGAAACATATTTTACGTCACATATACAACAAGATGCATAAATGTTTTACCTTTTCTTTATCCATCAAGGAGGATATATTAAAAATGAACTACTGTCAGGTATATGTGCAGTCCTCTGCAGCTGCATTGAACATCTCATACCAAAAGCTGCATAAAAATCAGGATGTGGTACACGCATTGCCACCCCCCGACAGGTGAACGTGTCAAGACTATAAAGAGCTTGAGATAAGTATAATTACAACAATCCATAGGAGAATTGTCCACACTTTGACATTCAACATAGTCCAAACCTTCGGACTTGCCCGGTCGCATTCAGCAACCTCCTGACAATATTTTCAAATGGGAAAGTTTTTCGCTCAGCCTGATCTCTCATCTACTACATGAGAAGGTAGTTACTTCGCCTGTGATGCTTCAGTGTTGACGTCTAATCGCGTTCTTGGGAATCTTAGCGTCGTGTATATTCTTATAAAACTGCTATGAAGTACAGGTGATGATATGTGTTGTGGGTGTAACGCAAAGTTATGTATAGATGTTTAAATATTTGTATATATGTTTACACATTTATATATAACACCGACACACACACACACACCTGAGCACACACCACACACACACACACACACACACATCCACACACACACACACACACACCACACACACACACACACACACACACACACACACACCACACACACACCACACACACACCACACACACACACCCACACACACGCACACACACACACACACACCACACACCACACACACACACACACCACACACACCACACACACCAACACCACACACACACACACCACACACACACACCCCCACCCACACCACACACACACACACACACACACACACACACACACACATATATATATATATATATATATATATATAATATATATATATCTATTTTATATATATCTTATCTATATATATATATATATATATATATATATATATCTATCTATATATTCTCTATATATTACGTGGCATCAGATAGTCACAAATTGGTCAAGCAACGAACGAGGGTATAAAACGTTTTCCTTCTAAAGGGATATATGTACATTCTTGAGATATCATGATATCATTATATCGTTATATCATCAAATCATTCTTGTAGGTACCTTCTTGAGATATCTTAAATGTTAGCTATCGCTTAAATTGCTATTGATTCGTTTTATATCAGACATCGTCTTAACTGTAACTGCTGGTATGTCTTTTAAGCGTAAACAATTGCTCTAAACAGCACAATTCTCTGTTTACTAAATATGCCCCTCAACGCGTCATGGTTTATGTCACCGTACCTTGCACAACATTGCTTGAGAGCCAACTGATGGCCGTTAGATCTGGAAATTGCGCTCACGAACACCCGATATGCACGCCTCGACAACTAGATTTCCAATGGCCTTGATCGCCAGATGGCTTATGGATTGGCAGGATTTGAATGACGTTATTATGACGTCATGATTCCCAGGGTGACTGAAAAATTATCCTTGATATATCTCTCCCCATTACTGTGGGCGTATAGCTCAGAAACTAGCGGGGCATAGGCCTTAAGAAGGACAGGATTATGAACAACTACTAAAAGGCACTCACTATGGCTATTTCATTTCAAAATTATGTATAAATGTGGAACGCTCCCTTTTATCATTTTGAAATGTACGGACCGTGCTTTGTCATCAAATGCTCTCATTTGGACGGTAAAGCCACCTAGTTTTGCCAGCCCACGTCGGACTGAGCGGAAAAGCATCAAAGCCTGGTGACACAGTGGCCTGGATGCCCCTCTCCGCTGGTCTCCCACTAACATTGCCCTGACGTTTGACTTCCCTTTTACGTCTCTCTGGTCGTTTTTCCCTTGCTAGGGTTTCTTTCTAAGCCTTATCTGACCCCCATCTCTCATCTCCTTCTAACCTCCCTCTGACTGCTCTACGTCCACTCCCTGTGCTCCATATGACCGTTCGCTGGCCTTGCTCTGCCCCCCCCCCCCTCGCTGACACTTCTCTGAACCCCCGGTTCGTCTGTTTCAGCTGGCGTCGCTCGGTCCCGCTCGCGACCGCCGCCAACCTGTGACGACTACTGTCCACGTCAGCGGTGCACGGTCGGGACGAACGACCGAATCCTCTGCCTCGGCGTCCCTCCCCGCCTCGACGACGACGATCGTAGGCCATGCCGCTGCCGTACCAAAAGTGGTAAGCGCTGCAAGCGCTCCAAGTCCAAGCGCAAGTCGAAGTCCAAGTCGAAGTGCCGCTGCACAGGAGACTGCGGCTTCCGCGGCTCTGGGCGAGGGTCGGACTGTTGTTGTCCGGACCCTGCCCCGGCAGTGTCCGTGCCCGTGCCCGTGCCCGTGCCCGTGCCCGTACCCGTTTTTCATCGGCCCCCGCCCCGCCCCCGCCTCCGCCTTCGCCTCCGCTTCCGGTAGTGCCCGATCCTAATCCGGTTTCATTTGCAGCCGGTTGCCGGTGGCAAACCGGTTGCACGTGGTGCCGGTGCCGGTGCCGGTGCGGGTCGCATCCCGGTGTGACCTGTAATGACCTCTGCCCGGCCAGAAGTGCACGGTGACCGCAGACGGCCGGCCGCAACTGCCGCGGAACACAGCCGTCGGACAGACGGGGACGCCGCCGCTGTCGTCACGGCAGGAAATCGCAACGGACCGTTGCAGGAAACGCTCCGGCTCTGACTCCAGCTCTGGCTCCCGTTCTCGCTCCGGCTCTCGCTCCGGCTCTCGCTCCGGCTCCAAATCACGCTCTCGCTCCGGCTCCAGAAAGAAACACTACCGCTGCAAGTACAAGGGCAGGTGCTGAGGGGCGCCAAGCTTCGCCGTAGTTCTTGGCTCTTCTGTTCGCATGTCTGCTCTGAAACGACGCGGCGCTTTCCTGACGGCGTTCTCATTCATCGAGAGGTGGTCTGACGGTTATCTTGCAGCCCAAAAGAATGAAGCATTGCGCGAATTTTTGCGTCGAAACACTTCTGTTTTTCCCTAAAACCGTGCAGGCATGAATATAAACCCTTATTTCCGGCGTCAGAACGTTATGGAAGATGCAATATTAACCTGCTAAGATGTCAACGCTTTGCTGCCATCAGATTTGGATCATTATTATCTTGGCTGCTAGTTGATGCAGAGCATGGACGATAGAACAAAGTTGTTGGCTGATGGTTTACAACGGCGGTAATAGGAGATTTACCCCTACAGAGAGCATGCTTGCTGAATTATTACTCTGCAAACTGTTTCGTGGCGGCCTGGTCTTCTGTCTTTCTGTCTGTCTCATGGCCATGAAGTGAAACCATTGCTGCATTTCAGAACAAAAGCCCAAGACAAGCGGATTCCGCTTGCTTCACTACGCGAAGAGATCGCGTTGTTGGTGCCGGTCACGCATCTCTTTGGATTGCGGGATTAAAACATATTGCGAGTAACGTATTGACTGCCCGACATTAGCTGTGTTCAGCGACCACTTTGAGCCTGCACAACCGCAGCAGCAGTTCACCAACACTGCAGTCAGCCAACTGGGGTCACAACCAACACGGTACCAGAGCGGAGGCCGAGTGGTACCTGACGCACGTGGCCGGGCCGCCACACGAGGCAGCGTTACCAGAGCTGAGGCCGAGTGGTACCTGACGCACGTGGGTGGGCCGACTCACGTCCTCGACCTTGAATTGCCCTTAGCATATCAGGCTCGCTGTGATGCATCACATTATGAGCCAGGGTGATCACTTGAAGCTCTGCCACGTGTCGAGGCGACGCCATCAAATGTCTTACGCAGGTCAGACGCATGGCCAAATCCACGTTGGCCAACAATCGCTCTGGTAGCAAAGATTAGAATCTTTTCGATTCTATCTAAATTTGTTCTGCGTGCCATTGTCATAAGCCGTCAGACAGTATCTGACCTGCGTGAGCCCCAACGCCGCCACTAGAGTTCTGATGACGTCATCTGCAAGGCAGTGCAGCGCGAAGGACAGGTTTATCAGCACGCCCATGCACCGGCGGCTGAGCTCGGACACGTGTGAATCCCAGACAGGCCGCTGTCAAAGACGACACTTAAGTTCATCGTCTCCGCACAGGATCGCAGCACGGCGTTACGAAAAGTTACGGTGAGGTTTAGAAGAGCGAGTAAATTTTGACGACTACCGAAAGTGATAAGTTACGTTTTGGCTGCGCTTACACCTGGTGTCATCTGCACATTGAAAAGAAAGTCGCTTTCTGCGTACAAAGATAGATTACTCGAAAAAGCTGTGAAAAGAATACGCTCGGATGCAAAACTCTAGAAGGTACAACGCCCCAGGCGCTGTGACGTCACGGGTCAAGGCCGACGGAGCGCGGCCCGGCGGCGCGGTCTTGCTGTAGGATCTCGCGTCGGGTGGTGATTTCACGCGGCAGACAATGATCAGGCTCTTTCGTACGCAGTGTAAGGTGGAGCTGACTGGGTGGGGGTGCCGACAAGCGGCAGTACACAGACGATGGCCAGCAAAGTCCAAAATTGGGCCAAGTTTCGATGCATGCTGGCTGTCGGCGGACACGTGAAACACTGACGTGGCGGTGGAAGGCCAGGTCCGTGACGAGTCAGCTTGTACGTCACGATCTAGTCGAGAAGGGTGCTGTTAGCCGGAGACAAATCGGGCACACACCCGAACACCCGTCTTCATGCACACAAGCGCTTGCACACAAGGAGGAACCGTGAGGTAACCAGTGAAGAGACAAGTAGCGCTCGCATTCGCGCGTGGCGTCGCGCTCATCTGAACTGATAACAATGAAAACAAATGAGTGTGCAAGAGAGCATCAGAAAAGGTCAACACACGCGCATATAACGACATTCTGGCACTGAAAGCAAAGCACTGACTAATACGCTACCTCTCGAGAAGTTGAAGTACTTCAAGTGAGTCAACTCGTTTGCTAGGGGGACAATTTCGCACGGCCAGTCCGAAGCGGGGCGTCCGAGGATTCAGGATGGGGCGAGAAAGTTGACAAAAGGGTCGGATGACTAACACGAGTTAGGCTTTGTGCTACAAAAGGCAGGTTTTGCGCTACATTCTTCCTATATATTACTAAATTCGGCCTTGTAATCGAATTACTCAATAAAAGCGCTATACCTGAGTATGTAAATGCAAGCAAACACCTTAAACTCACGGATAAACATAACAGAACGTCACGTGGAAGGTGCAAAGGAAGAGCACCTACCACGTCGACCATGATATCCATCCAGCGCTTTAACTTAAGCCAGAGTGTCTTCTGTAAAGTACCCGTGAATGACACTGACAGAAACTCCAGTTACAGCGTGTTACGGTATATGATGGCAAAACCTCGGCCAGATTTTCCAGCCTGTTGATCTTTTTCCAACGTACATGTGCCAGAAACAGGAGCATGCGGTCCTCGATTATCTCAGTCACGTTTTTCCGCGGTAGAATATTTCCAGTCTCTCAACGACAAGCAGATTGTTCACATCGCTCACGTGCTTGACGAGGGACACCCCCTCTGGGTGACGGATTTTTCAGCCTGGTGATGTCTGCAGGTTATGCCGCATCTCTGCGTGCCGGGTTTGACAGGTCATAATGCGAGGTGGACGAGACAGGTGTCGCCCTCTGCCTTGGTCTGGCGTTGTCAGACGTGGCAGGGAGCGGGCTTCTGCGTCTTGGTGGCGTGTCCGATCTTGAAGAAAGTCCGTTAGGTAACACGCACCCTGATCTGCCGATTGGATATGCGTTCAGCTCGAGCGCCTCGATGGTGGCGGTGCCTTTGCAGGCCGAGATGCCGCAGCAAAGCTACCACCGAGTCGCTCAGCTGCGTTGTAGCGGTGCC